AAAGGAGCAAGCCAGGTTCCGGTGGCTCAGGCCTGTAATCCTAGCTACTCAGGAGGCTGAGATCTGAGGATCGAGGTTCAAAGCCAGCTTGAGCAGGAAAGTCTGTCTGTGAGACTCTTATCTCCAACAAACCACCAGAAACCTGGAAGTGGCGCTTTGTGTGGCTCACATGGAAGAGTGCTCACCTTGAGCACAAAAGCTCAGGGAACAGCACCTAGGACCTGAGTTCAAGACCCATGACCAACCAAAAAAATAAAAAAAAAAAAGAGCTATGATTTCCTCACTGGAGTTGCACATTAAAGGAAGTCACAAATGTAGTCACACTTTTCCTAAGAATACGGCCATAGGAATATAAAATCCCTTCTAGACAAGTCCCAAAATCTCTTAAGTTCTTAGAATCTTCTTCTGGAAATGTAGTTTTAACTCAAGCCTCCATTTTATAAACAGGAAAAAAATTTCAGTCAATCATTTGCAATCTAAAACTGACAGCAAGAGACCACAGAGTTTCAACAGCCAAAATTAAATAATTCTCTTCAGAGAAGGAATTGTATGCAAATTTAACTGATGAGTTGTGAACTAAAAAAACACATTTGTGATATCTATGCTGGCCTGAGATTATTACATAGACTATCCTCACAATTCAGACGAAAAAGACAGAAAAGGCAATTTAATCAATAGCCTGGTCAGGCCCTGGTAGTTCATGACTATAATCCTAGTTACTCAGGAGGCTGAGATCTGAGACTCACAGTATGAAGCCAGCCCAGGCAGACAAATTCAAGAGACACTTAGCTCTAAATAGCTAACAAAAAGCCAGAAGTGGAGGTGGGGTTCAGGTGGTAGAACACCAGCCTTGAGTGAAAAAGCTAAGCACAATTACAAGACTGTAAGGTTATGAGTTCAAGTCCCAGTACTGGCACACACGTCACATACATACACACACACTATAAATCAGCATTTCAGAGAGAGAAGAAAGAGGAAAAGATGTCTAGGCTTGCTAGTAATGAGATACAGGCATATTAAAACAATGGATGAAGGACAACAAAATAAATCAGGCTTTTTTTGTGGGGGAAGAAGGGATGAGTGAGCTCCAGTAGGAGAGGGTTGGGCTAACAGAAGCAAGTGTGAATGACAATGAAAATGATGGTAGTAGTTTGTTTGCATATATGAAAATAGAACCATAAAATCTGTTTAAATTGCTTTAAAAAGGGGAAATAACAGTGAAATTGATTGGGACACTTGGTACACACATGTGGAAAGTCACAATGAAGCACCTTGTATAATTAGTGTATACTAATAAAAAAAAAACCTTGAAAAGCCATAAAAACTCAATGAGCTACCACTCTATATACACCACACTGCTAACAATGGAAAGTTAAATCACTTCATTAGTGAGGATAAAAGAAAAGGAGAGCTGGGTACAGTGGCTCATGTCTATAATCCTAGCTAATCAGGAGACTGAAATCTGAGGATTGTGGTTCAAAGCCAGCCAAGGCAGGAAAGTCTATGAGACTCTTATCTCCAAGTAACCACCAGAAAACCAGAAGTAGAGATGTGGTTCAAAGTGGTAGAGTTCTTGAGCTAAAGAGCTCAGGGCCAGTGCCCAGGTCAAGTTCAAGCCCCACAACTGGCAACAAAAATTAAAGAAAAGAAAAGGAAAACTAGCCTGCTACATTGGGTAGGAGTATCCACTGTTTGGGTACCTAAATTATAGAATTTACAAGCTACCTGGGTGAAAGAATTAACATTAGGTTGCAAAGCAACATATCCTGAGAATATGTCTGGGTTAAATGCTCTGGTTTATTGTTTTATTGTTGTTTTGTTTTGTTTTCATTTGAGTTCTCTTTGGAGGTTTTCATTTGAGTTGTCTTTGTTTGGAGATTTTGTTTGTTGACAGGGACTTGCTCTGTAGCCTGTCCAGAGCTCTCCATTCTCTGGCCTCTCACAGGTACTAGAATTACAAGTGTGTGTAGCCACGCCCAGTTCTGTCTTTGGAGAGTTTCAAAAAGACCAATTAGCGGAGCTGGGAAGTAGTAGAGTGCTTGGCCCTGGGTTCGATTTCTCAGCACCATATAAGCAGAAGAAAGCCGTAAGTGGTGCTCAAGTGGTACTCAAGTGGTAGGGCTCCAGCCTTGAGCTAAATCGTTTAGGGACAGTGCCCAGGCCCAGAGTTCAGGCCCTAAGACCGACCAAAAAAGACCAATTAGGGCTGGAAGATTAGGAATAGGTTCATGGAAGAAGTTGAATATGAGCTGGACCTAGAATTGGTTAGGAGCAAGCTGAGCACAGTGAAGTCTTGCAGTGAAAAAACCTGTGCAAATGCCTTAAAGTGAAGACAATTTAATGCTGCCTGCCAGGAAGAGCGAGGAGAAAAGATCCTCAACAAGGAATGCTGGAGGCGTGGCTCAAGTGGCGTTTTATCTGTTTAGCCAATGGGAGGCTCTGAATTCAAACCCATCTCACACAAAATAAATGGGATTCTTGGAGTGTAGCTCAGGGATAGAGCACTTGCCTAGCATGCATGAAATCCCAGAATGGGACTCCTCCTAGACAGGATTTCTTTATTAGAAAGAAGCAGGGCACCAGGCCACAGGGTTATCGAATGTTACAAGTATATTTGAGTGACAGTGTCATAGAATGTTTATTTAGAGAGTCAGGCGTGGTGGCAAATATCTGTAATCTCAAGATCCAGGAGGCAGAAGCAGGAAGATGTAAGTTTGAGATCAGTAGCCATGTCTCAGAAATAAAGCTTGAGGGATAAGAATGTGGCTTAGTGGTAGAGTGCTGCCTCATATGCATGAAGCCCTAGGTTTGCTCCTCAGTACCACATAAACAGAAAAAGCAGGAAGTAGCACTGTGGCTCAAAGTGGTAGAGTGCTAGCCTTGATCAAAAGAGCTCAGGGACAGCGCCCAGGCCCTGGGTTCAAGGCCCACAACCAACCAAAGCAAGCAAGCAAACAAGCAAAGCCTTTAGTAGTAGGAAATTGCTGAACAAGTCAGAAACTAAAACAGAACTCAAGAAGAACTAGAAAGCAGTAGGGACCAGATCTAGAAAGGTAAAATTAGAATGAAAAGAAAAAACAGTTCGAAGAAATAACACTGAATACTGAAGGTACAAAGTAGGTTTCAGAAAAAGGAAAGAAGTCAGTGATGCCACTAAGTTCTGTGAAATTCAAGACAGTGATAATGCTTCGTTATCATGTACTTTTCCTATACCTCAAACCCTATTTTATAGTTATTAACTTAAGATTCACAACAGGAGTGAGCCTGTAGCTCAGTGGTAGAGCTCTTACCTAGCATGTATAAGGCCCTAAGTTGAAAACAAAACAATACCTGCTTAATGAGTTTATAAAAGACTCTCTAAAAGGCTACCCTTTACCTCAATAAAGCTGGGACACAGAAAAGTGCATCACAGGGGCTGGGAAGGTGGCTCAGTGGTAGAGCGCTTGCCTTGCATGCCTGAGGCCCTGGGTTCAATTCCTCACCACCACATAAAGCAAAAAAGAAAAAAAGCCGGAAGTGGCGCTGTGGCTCAGGTGGTAGAGCGCTAGCCTTGAGCTGAAGAGCTGAGGGACAGCGCCCAGGCCCAGAGTTCAGGCCCCACGACCGGACCCAAAAAGAAAAGAAAAGAAAAGTGCATCACCAATCTCCACTCTGGGACAGCCTGCTTGTCCTCTATAAGAGTACATTCTTCCTTTGACAAGCTACTATTCTTAAAAAACTTCACCACTATCCATCCCCCTTTAAAAAAAAAAAAGCACCAAGCTGGCCACAATGGCTCACACCTATGATTTTAGCTACTCAGGAGACTTAGATCAGGAGGAGGATTATAATGTGAGTCTGGGGGTGGGAGGTGAGGGGTGTTCACAAGACCTCCATCTGAACCAATAAAGCATCTAGGTGAGCTGACAGCCGTCCCAGCTACATTAGACACTCAACTAAAAAGTGGCAGCCATGACTGAATTCCCAGCAGTCTGGGTCCAGAGCTCACACTGCTTAACCAGTGTGCCGCCTGTTCCCACTTTGTGCCCAGGAGCCCACGGCAACAGTTATCTATAGATGGTTCGCTGGGTAACGATCAGATGGATTGGGAGAGCATGTGAATTCTTTGGCCTTCCAAGCTACTCTCCCTTCACTTCAGAAGCTAGTGACCCTGTTTCCACAGAGCTCATCGGACTAAGTCAGAAGAGCACCCAGGGCCAGGCGCCAGTGGCTCATTCCTGTAATCCTAGCTATTCAGGAGGCTGAGATCTGAGGCTCGAGGTTCAAAGCCAGCCCAGGCAGGAAAGTCCGTGAGACTCTTATCTCCAAGAAACCACTCAGAAAACCGGAAGTGGTGCAGTGGCACAAGTGGTAGAGTGCTAGCTTTGAGCTGAAGAGCTGAGGGACAGCATTCAGACCCAGAGTTCAAGCCTCATGACCAACAAAAAAAAAAAAGAAAAAGAGAGAAGAGCACCCAGAACAACGGTTTGCCCAGCTATGGTGAGGTTTGGAGGCAATATGGATCACTGAGGCAGCCATAAATATCTGACAGCAAAATATACACAAAACAAAACAACAAGAAAACACAAGCAGCTTCCCCAGCCTTGTTTCCCACATGCATGGCACAAGCGGATAGAAGGAAATGCTGAGAGCAGGGAACAAGGGCTCTGCTAGGGAGGGAGGAAGGGTTTTTCCCTGCTTCCCTCCTTCGGGGGGGCAAGCTGTGTGCAGACTAAGGTATGCTGAAATTGAAATGACAACCCATTTACACTGAGGTATCCAGAAACAAATATCAGGAAAGGAGCTACGTTGGACTGAAGTGTGGCTCAGTGACAGAGAGCTTATCGAGTACACCAACACAAAAGAAAGAAGCTACATTGATATTAAGAAATGAGGTTTATTGCCTTGAAGTGGGAAGGAGGATGCATGTGACAGGTGCTCTGCTGTAATCAAACATACAGGGATAGAACAGCGCTCTGCAGAGATCTCCCCTAACCCCCCCCCCCCCCCCCCAGCACACACACACACACACACACACACACACACACACACACACACACACACACTGAAGGAGCCTCTGGAAAGGACAGCTCCTGGCCAGGACACGAGACACCTCTGGCCATCCCTTGCTTGGATGGCTAATTATTGGCATCAAACTCTGTTCCAGAAGAATCAGTCTGAGGAGAGAGTAGGATGGAGGAAGGTCATCATGGGTCTCCCCATTTCCCCAGAGTCCTCCCTCTGCCTGGGGCAAACCCTATTGATCTGTTTTTGTCATTTATAAACATTTTCCCTCCTGGTGCCCATATCACTTCTACCCTACTCAAAGCTATCCTTTGTGACCGCAGCGGCGTAACCAGGACCCCAGCTGGGAAGATGTGCCTCCATCAGCACCCCAGGATCTATCGCTGTATGCCCATATGCCCATCATGCCACAGGATAATCCTGGCATGCCAACACAGCCATCACTGTATCTGGGATACCCACCCACTCCAGATGACGTACCAGCTGAGCAAGGTTTCCGGAAGTAGATGATGAGGACAGTGCCTGCAATGATGCCCAGCACACCTAGACCAAAAGCCACCCCACATAGCACATTCTCCAGGAGATCCGAGGGCAGGGCATTCTGGGGCACTAGAACAAAAGGAAGGTAAGTGAGCCTGAAGACCTGGCTGAGGTGCCCTCTACCCAGGGGAATGGTCTTGGGGATCTAGTTTGACAAGGAAGAAACTAAAGCATGGATGGTTGAGGTTGTCTAGAATGAGATTGGACCAAATAGGTCCAAGTAGGGGAAGAAAGCCCCTGCAATTGTCCTATCCCATCGCCCCTCCTTCCCAGGAACCAGATTCCAAGGGAAAGAGCCCTCACCCCAATAGGCAATCGCTGAGTGTCCATCGATTTTATGAGTCACGGTGCAGGAAAACAGGTCAGAGGGTTCTGGTGTGAAGTTCAAATAGGAAAATGCCTGAAAGGTGAGTCCATCCATGGCCATAACAAAAGTGGGCCTTGCTCCTTCCACAGGGGCAGAGTTATACTGCCAGTCCACTGTTAAGGTCGGCGGGAAGAGATTACTGATAAGGCAGACCAGCGTGTTGGGTTTGCCAAACTCCAGGGGCTTCATCGTGAACACCTCAGGCACAGGGAGACCTGGTGGGGAGTTGAGGGGTCAAAGGGGAAAAAAAAGGGACAAGTTTAGATGGTACTGCTGGGGTGAGGCACATGGAGGGGAGGCCAGAGATGAGTAAGTGGGGCTTTGAGGCCAATGAAGGGAAAGCTGGCTCCCTGGGGGAAGTCTTCCAAGCAAGAACCATAGCTACAGCCACTCTAGATTTTTCTGCTCCAACTTGTGGCAGAACTGGCTGTCTAGACCTCATATTAGAGTCTGGTCACTCTTGTCCTTCAAACTCAGGCCTGTCACCAATTTACCACCCCCCACCCCCCCTTTCAGTCTTGCTGAACACAAAAATCCGAGTGCTGATACTCATTACTCATCACCTGGTCCCTGTTGAATTCCACCAAGTTCAAGAAATAGTTTTGAATGCCTACACTGTCTCCTGTGCAGAGAAAATCACAGGGTACAGATGGAGACAGTGTCTGGTGGAAAAAGAAATTCTGAATCAGAAAAAGAAAGGCTTGGGCTGGGAATTGGTAAAGCACTTGCCTTGCATGCTTGAGGCCCTGGGTTCGATTCCTCAGCACCCATAAGCAAAAAAAAAAGCCGGAAGTGGTGCTGTGGCTCAGGTGGTAGAGCGCTAGCCTTGAGCTGAAGAGCTGAGGGGCAGTGCCCAGGCTCAGAGTTCAGGCCCACGACCGGACCCAAAATAAGAAAAAGAAAGGCTTTAGGCAAGAATGAGAAGGCATGGGATGTGAGGAATGAAGTTCAGTGAGTTAGATGGACAATGGTAAGAAAGAACACAGCCCTCCCATCCCCCCATCCCAGCATCCTGACCTCTGGATACTGGGATATATGGTTCCAGTTGGGGGCCTACTTGCTGGAGTATCAGTTCACAGAACTTCTTGTCAAATAAGATGGCAGGGGTGTCTCCTTGGTCCTGAGTCCACTTAGAAAATTCAGGTAGATGAGGTATTCTGGTGTCATGGGAAAAGTCAAAGGAGAAAAGCAGGTCCTGGTCATAGGTCTCAGAGAGCCCAATGCTGGGACTCCAATCTTGGCAGAACACAGTATGCTGGAATGTGTGGTTTTGCAGATCACCCTGCCATGCTGGGGTTGTAGCTGCAAAGAGATAGGGCAAGGTTCAGGCAGGTCCCTTTTTAACGTAGAAAACATTAAGAACAGCCGGGCACTGGTGGCTCACACCTGTAATCCTAGCTACTCAGGAGGCTGAGATCTGAAGACCAAGGTTCAAAGCCAGCCCGGGCAGAAAAGAACGTTGAGACCCCTATCTCCAATAAACCACCAGAAAACCGGAAGTGGCGCTGTAGCCCAAGTGGTAGAGCGCTAGCCTTGAGCTGAAGAGCTGAGGGACAGCGCCCAGGCCCAGAGTTCAAGCCCCACAACCGACAAAAA